GTTCGCCTCGTGGATCGTGAATGCGAATAGCTAATCATCGAACCATAACCATAAATGTGAATGTGAATCAAGAATCCCAATCAAAAATCTTGAATTGTGAATCACCAATTGTGAATGTGAATCACGAATGAATGTGCGGCGCGATGTTGGCTGCATGCTTGGCTAGGTAGGTGGGGTCGCGCTATTTACACAACCTCGTGTTGCGCGCGCCGGTTTGACCTTGCGCGCCGCGCATGCGCAGCTGCAGATTTACTAGCCAGCAAATTGACCAAATTGCCAGCAGAGAGGGCATCTTGATGACTACCATGTGCATACACAAAAAATACAACTGTTCGACTCGTAATCACACAACGGTGAAGAAAAAAGCAAAATCTGGTGGTTTGGGGCTAATCTGGACTGTCTAAGCTGTTTGCCACCGCTTCTGGCACTACTTCATCCCTCTAAGACAAGTTCAGGTGAGTGCTGGATACACTCTGGATGCGTCGGCACCATCTAGGGCACAAATACACTGTTGACAGCGGGTTTTTGATCGAATTTGAACCTCTGTGTACAGAATTGCTGCCATTTTTCTTCCCAGGGGCTCACATCCCGCTTGTCTTTGGTTCTAATACTGCGCTAGGGTCCGTGTGTGAGTACTGTGTATCACTGGCACTGTTGAGGGGGTCTATTTTCGACATTTCTGCCTGCTGAAGTACAGAATTGCTGCCATTTTTTTCTTAGCTCCCCTGAACCCATCTGCTGCCGTGCCTTTTGTTGCTGTGGAGCCCCTGGGTGAGTGCTGCGGTGCATAGGAGGGTCATAGGCTGTCTGGGAACTGCTGGGAGATGTTCTGCTGTGGTCATCACCTCGTGACACTTATACAGAATTGCTGCCATTTTTTTGCAGAGGCTCTTCACTGGCACAATGCCTCGTCGCTTGTCTGGTGCTCCTACACCTGCTGTCAATGTCGATGCTATTGCAACCTCTCCTGCTGCTGATGCTGCTGTTGCTGTCAATGCCGACTCCACCACCAACCCTGCTGCTGATACTGAGAGTCAAGACCGAAGAAAACTCTCCAACCTCCGTCGCAATCTTGCTTACAAAGAAGGAGCAAGCACCCTGGAGCTGTTTGAGGTGTCCAAGCTGGCTGTGCTCCATCCTCTGCCGACACTTCAGGAGCGTCTAGAGCAACTAGAAGGTGTTGATCAAGAGTCTGGTACCGGTGGCATTGTGGGAAGAGGTGTCCTTGAACATCAAGATGACAAGGAACCCCTTGTGTTCTACAAGCGCATTCTTCTTGTTGACAAGGACACTGAGAACAAGGACCCATTGTTGCTTCGCATCTCACCTCCAAACCTGGGTGCCAGAGATGACATGGCAAAGCTTGAGAAGAAAGGCAAGGCACTCTTTGATGCTCTTGTCAAGCATGGCAAAGGAGCAGCACAGGGTCGAAAGAAGCGCAATGGGACAAAGCTTGATGGGCATGCAACAAAGTGGTGCTTCAATCTTGGCTTCTGGTTCTTGCAAGGCTTGCGATGGTTTGGTCCAAGCGCAGACCTGCTGCAAAGCAACGAAGCACTGGCACAGAAGAAGAGCACTGCATTTCTGCATTGGTGGTCTCAGTATGTCAACAGATTTGTAGTACCCATCATGAGCAGTGATGCTGTGCCTCTCACTTGGAGGACGGCATTTCATGAGCGTGCTAGAGCAATGGAGACCATAAGACAGAGATGGTCAGCAGCAGAAGTGCTCTGTCCTGCAGGCTTCTTGGTCTGCTCAGTCTTCGATGGATACACTCCTGGGGAGCACAAGGACCGGTTTGACCACGCACCCTCTGTCCTGCTCAACTTTGGCGCCCACACCTGGCTCAAGCTGCCTGCATACAAGACACAGGTGCTCTTGAGGCCACTGGACATTTGCATCCTAGACACCAAAGTGCTAGCACATGCAACACTCAAGCCTGCTTGGGCTGACCCAAGCAAGCGGTGGGCTTGCTCGTGCTATTTCCAATCCCAAGCCCTCAACTCAGACAGGCTGGCCAAGGCTATGACAAAGAGCACGCACCCCGCTCTGACACAGACTGCTCACAATGTTGCAGAGTCCTGGCACCGCCAGTCCTAGCAATGCATGAACCTTCGAATTCCCTGTGACAGCGCAGCTCGCACATGCCTGACATGTCAGTGGTCACTGTTGAAGCAGTGCTTGAAGACGCAGGCGCATAGGTGTGTACGCAGCACACCACTGACATGTCAGTGGTGTGCTGTTGAAGTAGTGCTTGAAGGCACAGGCAGCAGGCGCACAGATGTGCGCGCAGCACACCACTGACATGTCAGTGGTCACCTGTTGAAGCAGCGCTCAAAGGTGCCGCCAGCTAGGTGCATACCTGTGCACGCGGCACACCACTGACATGTCAGTGGTCACCTGTTGAAGCAGCGCTTGAAGGCGCCGCCAGCTAGGTGCATACCTGTGCATGCAGCACATCACTGACATGTCAGTGGTCAGCTGTGCTCCGGGCCTCCTTCTGGATGGCCCTAATGTAATCCTTCAGCATCCCTTTACTGCCCCCATAAGCTTGGTAGAAAGCTCGCAGAGACTTGCCTCGCTTTGTGTATGCCTGATATATCTTCTTGCGCAGAGAGAACACCATCGCATTGCCTCCAGTGCCTTTGCAACGCATTGCTGAAGTCCAAGACCTCAAAGGCAAGAAGCCAATGCTCGGGTCACCTATCTCCCACTGCTGCACAACGTCCTCCACTGAATTAGCTTGAGGAATGCGCATGGGTAAGGGCTTGCCTGTACTTGCAAGGTGCGGCACCCCATTGCAGGCAAGCGCTGGTGCTGCAGTAGGCTGTTGCGGCCAGCTTGTTGGCATTGCTGAGCCTGGAGCACTTGCATGGGTGACTAATGGCGGCTGCGGCAAGACTGGGAAGGGTGGGACTGCAATGTGCACAGGCTGCGCTGCAGAACCAGGGAGATGAAGTGTAAGCTCCAAAGGGTATGGCAAAGGTTGGGGTGTGCTTGCGAGGCGTTGCAGAGCCTGTGTCTGCTGAGCCAGGGTCTCGTTTAACTGTGCAATCTGCTGGTGTATGGCTTGCACATCTTGCGAGTATTGTGTAGTGGCGCCACCAGCAAAGTACAGTGCCCTGTTGTCGGTGTTTGCAGTGTCCTCCATATCACCACAGTAGTGCTCTCCCTGACGGACTTCATCCATCAAATACTTGATGATTGTCTCGTTGTGCTCAGAGGGTGACCAGCCACCCCACCATTGCGCAGCCTTCAAGGACTTGCGCTGCTCCCCATAGTTAGTGGCATAAATCACAGCATCTTGAGCACCCCCTCTGCGGAAGCAGTGGGATGTGAACCGTCCAGCATGAAGGTCGGCCAAACCTTCAATGTCTGCAAGCTCATCAAGCAGCGCATTGATCTCATTTGATCCCATGGTCTCCTTCATGCGGAAGGCGCCAGTCTTCAGGTGTAAGGCCGGAAAGACAAGATCTTGACTGGTGGGATTGCGTGCGGCAATCCAGCTCCAGTACTCTTTCCAGCGTGGCACTGCCTCAAGAGCATTGGCCATTGGACGCCCAGGCAAGAAGAAGAGCCGGTATTCCCTGCCCTTGTGCGGGTCTATTTGATTAGTCTTGCGAAATGTGAGAGTCACGGACAGATACTTCTGGCCTTCCTTCGACACATGAGTCACAGGATCAATCTCACCCCATGTGAGCTTGCACAGCTCATCGCACCTTGTCCAAAGCCTATAGGCAAGAATGCAGTAACAGTGCATGAACTCCAGCTTTGTTCGCTCAGCAGTCAGGGTGCCAGGCAGCTGGCTGAAAGGCTGGAGGCGCTTATGAATGCCTGCTAGAATGATTGCCAAACTGGGATAAAGCATGGGCCTTGACTGCTTCACAAGCGGCCGCTCCCTATTCTCAGCACGCTTCTTGTTCTTAAGAAGCTTGAGGATGCTCTCGCTGAACGCAGGGTTGCCAGACCATGTGCCCCCAACCTTCTGCCAACCAGACAAAACATGTGCAGAGCACTTGTGCTCGACACAGAAGTGCCATTGCAGAGCAGCATAGATGCCTCGCAGAGTGGCTGCTCTTAGTCGCTCAAAGCTGTGGGTGAGAAAGAAGAGGCAGACCTTCTCACTATTCTCTCCCAAAATGTCCAGGCCATCTGCGTAAGAGACAGGTGGATCTGCATCTGCCAGCCAGCCACGGACTTGGTTGATGTACCGTTGATAGGTAGCCAGACTCTTTGCAGACTTGCCATATGCTTCCTCGAGCTGCTTCTGCTTGGCAAGGTATGCATCTTGGCCTTGATGGGCCCCCAGACTTGAGCGTGGCACCCCTCTTGTGGAGCGTGCACCCTTCTTGCGATGCTGATTTGCTGGTGGTGGTTGCAATTGCGGTGATGCTGGAGGGGAGATGCAGGAGAAGGTGGTGCTTGCCATGATGGGAGGCTGTGCAGTGCAAGACGTGAACAAGGCGTGCAAGAAGAGGGATGTGCTGGGCAAAAGTTAGGAGGGGGTGGTGGCGGAGGGTGGTGGCTGTACTGCAGGCTTTGTTGCGTGCAGCATAGAATGTGCCTTTTGGGAAAGTATGAACGTACAAGTTCTGGTGGTACACGCAGCAAGCTGTGTGACTGTGATCACTGACATGTCAGGGGTCGCCTTGCAGCCAAAGGTGGCGGGGGCAAGAGCTGCTGGCAAGCCACCACTGACATGTCAGGGTTCACAGTGCAGCAAATTGTAGCGCAGGAGCAGCAAGCTACTGGGCCTTCTTGAGAGCAGCACGCCCAGCTGGTGCGCAAAGCAGAGCTCCTTGATGCGTCTTGCAATCTCTGTGGACGCAATCACTCAGTAACCACTGACATGTCAGGGGTCACCTTTTCATTGGCAGTAGCGCTGCGGAACAGGCAGCTCACTGCAAGAAGCCAAGCAGCGCACACAGCTCTGGTGCGCAGGCAAGTATGCTGCAGTCTGGTCAAACAGAAGCATGCCAACAAGTTGGGTTGCAGGCTGCATGCAGGCCAGATTGATGCGGTGCACCTGACCCCATCTTGTTGGTGCTCTGAGATTGACCTGTGGGGATGCCGTCTGAATGTACCCCTTTTTACCAATCATGCATCATCACGCGCTGCGCGCGGCACGTCCTCAGTCTTGCGCAAGGTAAATCCTTAGGACCAACCTCATTTTAGTAAGTCCACAACCCGGCTTATTCAGTCGAATTTCAAACTTGACTGCTGGAATCTTCTCGAAAGGTCGACTTGTTCAGTTGATCCCCCTATCGCACAAGAAGCAATCGACTTGTCAGGTCGACTGCTTTACCGCACGAGAAAGAGTCGACTGGACAAGTCGACTAGCTAGTGGTTCATCCGGTTGTGTCTTTGATTTGCCCAACTTGAGTCGACTACACTAGTTGACTCCCAAATCCGGCTGACACAGAGCCAGCTGAGGTCGGCGTGGTAAGTCGAGTTGCTATTGTACGAGAAAAAGTCGGCTTGGCAAGTCGACTGGTGGAATGAAAATGTTGTTCGAGTTCTGTAGTCGACTCCCCAAGTCGAATCTGACCTGATTTTCACGCGGCGCTAAGCGCCGCGTGGACAAGACAACTTGGGGAGTCGGACTGTCCAGAATGCGACTTGTCGAGTCGAATGCAGCATGCGTCTTGGCGCGTCTAACCTTCCAGTCGGCTTTGACAGTCGAGTCTCACTCATTGCCGACTCCCTAAGTTGACCCGTTCACACAATC